CAATTAATAGAATGTACAGAATTTTGCTCTCTATTAAGTATTATTTTAATTTTAATGATTTTTCACACACCTCATTACTCATTGAATTTATATCAACAATAGAATTAATACTACAGCTGTAGTTGATTAAGTGACTTGTTTTAAAATTAAACTTGTATTTAAATCTTTTGCAACATGATGTTTCTAAAATATTTAAGTCTCTATTGTTAATTTGATTTTTTCTGTTTCAAAGAACCTCTACCGATGAGAATGAGAGCACTACCTCAATCGTTCTTCCACGAACCCCATGAAATCCAAACAAGCTCTCTCAGCTCTGGCAGCACATTACCGGCCTTGCCGCCACTGTTTCATAATGCTAACAACACCGGCTATGACGTCAGTGTCCTTAGACCTGTCACACCCCCAGAGGAAAAGATAAACCCACGACCGCCGAAAGAAAGAAAAGTCTCATATGCAACAGGCACTAGTGAAGATTTACTGTATAAGTTGTTTGAACCAGTAGAAGAAGATAAAACAAAAAAGTTTGTCATTAAGAGGGGAAGGTGAGTGATTGATAAGATGGTACATATTGTGATAACTAGAGAGGGTTAAATTGAGGTCAAACTAAGAAAGAAATTCATGCACAAAGTCATGGCAGATCTGCATAGCATAGGTGTGTGATAAGAAAGGGGAGAATAATTTGTCCTTTTTTCATTCTTCCATTTTTTCATTCATTTCCTTTCTTTACTTTCCACTCATTTACCAATTCGTTCCTTTCTTATTTCCCTACCTCCCTTTCATTTATTTATTTTCATTTTTTATTTTCTCTCTCATTTATTCACATGTTCATTCATTCATTCACATGTTCATTCATTCATTCTCTCATTTATTTATATGTTTATCATTCATCTCTTTTCCCTTCCTTTCTCTCTGTCATTAATTCTTTTTTTATTGAGTCAACCACTTCCTGGTTGGCTGAGTTGGTTGGGCACCAGAATATTCAGGGTCTGAAATTAACTTGGGAGTTAAGTGGTCCTTTGGACAACCATAATCTAATTCTTAGTAGTCCAGAGCAAAACTTAAGAGTCCCACTTGCACGCCATTTTGTAGAGCCTGAATGACAATGGTCAGCGGTTAGCTATAATGCAGAAGATTTAATCAAATTTGTCAGCGATATACAATGGCTTCCTACGAATGTGTTATTTCAAGTTTTTGAAAGTTTATCAGTTGAAAAATGAACTTTGTAGGATTCAAGCAGAAGAAATATAATTTAGAATTATATTTGGACTTTATGGACTCTCTTATTTTTTATTTTTTTATAAAAAAAACACCTAGGCAAAAACGTAGGTTGTCAGAAGGACAACCACATTCCAAAAATTAGTCATCATTTGCAAATTTTAGTCGTCCCTGACCTCAGGTTGTGGGTTTAAGCCTTGGTCAGACCAACACTCAGGACCTTGAAATATCTGAGTAGAAGGTTCTGCCTTTGCTCTAAATATACATGCAAATGGTTAGACCTTCTCTGTGGCTCAGACAACCATGTAAAATGGCAGCCCAGTCTTATTCAAAGGCATTAAGAATAGAGAGCCACAAGGTTTTTCAATTGCAGCTTTCGCATGTAATCCTCTCTTTAAATAAAGTTTACTTATTTATTTCTTCATCCCCTCTCATCTATTCACTAATCCACTCTTCTTTTTTTTTTTTGATGTTTCTTCCTCCCTTCCCCCGATCTGCACCTCTTTCCCTCATAAATTTTTCACTCATTCTCTCCCTTGTTCATTCATTCATTTTTTCCCTTTCAGACCAAGAAGAGTTCAATCAGATCTTACCCCAAACATGTTACCAAAACTAGAAGAGGATCCCCAGTTGGTACAAAATCTCGCAAACAAATTATTCCCTCAGCTATCAATTGAAAACAAACTCAAAGGGATTCAACAATCGCAGACATCGTTATCATGCGTTTCAGTTCAAGATGGTGAGAAATCTGTAACATTACCTTCGTTAAGTGTAGATCAAAATTACTCTGCAATGCTTCAGGAAATTGTCGCTAACATGTAAACTAATTTCATACTTGTAAGAACCAGCCCTGCCTTTATCTTATTATTTGATTTATGAGTGATAATATTATATTCAAGGTTATATTATTAACTATTATTATTATAACATGTTATCATGAATTAAGGCATGCATGTATAATTAAGCTGTCAACTAAACATCAACAGGCTAAAAAGAACGGCCTTTAAACTAATGTGGATGGTCATCATGACCAGTGAATGACCAGTGTTATTTTTAGCCCTATATCAATGAATCATTATCATCCAAATTAATTCATTGAAATTAAGTTTTTACAGACTTTAGTCAAAGCCAGGTTCCATTTAATGTACTGTACACTTAATGTACAAGCTCAATTTCAAAGGTTCAACACATCCAAGCCTTTCAAGTGTGTGATTAAGAACAGAGACAGGTTTTCAAAGCATAGTGATAAAATGATAATGTGACTTGGATATAAAATCTACCTGAGCATGGAGAATGAAATGCGAAGCATGGTACTACATTATAGAAACTTTAAAAAGTTTCATTTTATGATTTATATCTTTTCCCATTCTTATTGTAACTGTAGTAACTTATGAGTCCGTTTAAATTAGCAATTTTATTTGCTTTATTTTGGTTATTAATTCTTGAAGTTCAAAAACTAGAAAAATGAATGGAAGAAAATAATATAATAAATGCTAATTAATTGGTCAATCATGTGGGCCCGGTTGTACGAAGCCTGGATAGTGCTATCCGGCGGATAAATCTTTATCCAGTGGATTAGTTGATGCTGTTATCCAATAAATTTACCCACTTGATAAGATTTATCTGTCGGATAGCGCTATCCAGGCTTCGTACAACCTGGCTGTGATGTTTAGAAATGGTCAGATAGTTAATAATCCTCCAGGTGGCAAAAATATGTATATATATATATATAAATATAAATTAAGGTTTTCCTTTTTATTTTCTTTCAAAAAGAAAAAAGAAAGAAAGAGATTTTGGTGCAGGCACAATGAAGGCTTTCATCAAATAGGAAAATGATTGAATCAATGATATTAGTCTTGTCAGAGTATATAATACACTTACATTCAATTGAATGAGAGTTTTCTCTTTATTTTTATGACTTTCTCTAATCTCTTGCTTGTGTGCTCTTTTTGTTTCACTCTTTAATTTCATTATTTTTTTTCCATATTTTCTCTCTTCATTTTAATGTTCTTCCTAGCTCTTCTGTACCTTTCTCTCTCTGTTTCTCTGTCTCTCTCTCTCTTTCTCTCTCTCTCTTTCTCTCTTTCTCTTTCTCTCTCTCTCTCTCGTTTAAGGCAATCACTAGTGAAGCTATTCAATCAATCAGTTGATAAAGGGATTTTTCCTAACGGCTTGAAACTTGCGAAAGTTACGCCAATTCATAAAGCTAATGACAAAGATGATTTGAATAATTACCGTCCCATTTCGGTCTTACCTACTATTGCTAAGATTTTCGAG